CCACTCAAGCCCACCAAGGTGACCTGAAAAAGCTCTATCAGCATATTACCCCATCTGCAAATGTGACTCGCTGACCTGACTGGCAAGCAGGAAGCTTCCTCTGCACACGTTCACCTCTGCCTCCTCTTCCAAAGAAGGGTCTTCTGTGTGTGCACTTTGCCTCAGATGGGAGGTAACTGACTGCTAATCAGCTTTTCCCATGAAAAAAAACAAAACCGAAAAAGGAATTAATGTATCCAAGGCCTGATATCTTATTTCTTTGTGCTATAGAGATCCATTGTTGTCTAAAACAGTAAAAAAAAAACACATATTATTGAGTCACGCCGCCTGGGTGAAATATTCCCCTATTACGATGAACACTGTAGTTTATTTTGACTCAATCCCACATACACCGTCCTGCTGTCGTAAAGTTTCACACCAAATGTGTTATATATATCCACAGCTGAAAATAGTGGCCAACAAATGCTCTATTTACTCTTGTTTGAGTAATGTTTGCTAAGAAGTACAGTAGCAAGCTGGTAATTACTGAGCCTTTTATTTGTAAGTCATTTTCAAAGGAAAGTATTGAGTGATGGATAAACTGTTGGTTGTATTCTTCTAGTTTGACCAGCATTTAAAATATAACTAAATCAAGATCAAGAAGCTGAATCTTTGGACTTAAAGTATTATTTAGAATGACTCTCATCAGATGTTAAAAGTAAATCTGGCAGGTAAGCAGGTCGACTGTTTGAAGAATACACACCTTACAGTAAAACTTCACTTTACATTTTGTGCATATCAAGCCCAGTGAGTGCATTAAAAGTGCAAGCTTCCTGGTTCCGTTTGTATTGACAGAGAAATCAGCTGTTCAGAGATCTTCTTGCACAGCGCCTACAGTATGGGTACTAGGATACATTGCATATCAGGTTTGGGAAGTGTCAAAACTAGCTCAGGATGCAGATCCAGCATGTTACCTTGATCTCTGTTACGGTTGAGCTCTGACACTGATGCCGTTGACAACAATCTCAGAATCCAGGCCAACTTAATACAGCATAGCACTGTATTTTGATTTCAGTTTACATTGGTGGGCAACTGGAGCACAGATGCCTCTACTTATCAGCTCCTAGTGGCTCATTTTCTGGGAAGTGGTCTGGATGCTACAGTGTACCTGTTATCTCTATAACCAATACCTGCCCAGTGGGCTCACGGCAACTAGATTTGGACCACTGTCAGCGATTGAGTTAGTCTTGTTGCCCCCTGTTAGGCATTTTCCAGAGAGATGAAGTTCCTGTCAGCATCAGGAGCTGACAAGACAGTAGCACCAGTACTGATTATAGCTGAACCCAAACAAAAGACAAGAAATAACTTCATCAACAACTCTCAGGTCATGCAGATAAACAGGAGAGGCCAGCTCAAAAACAAAAATCTAGGGCAGACAGTGCTGCAGCAGGAGCACAGTAGACACGCTGCATAATATAAATGCAAGAACATTGAGTTCAGTGTTTGCTACAATCTCAAAAACAAACAACCCTGCTCAACCTTTCGTTGTTTACTGCATCTTCAGATCAAAACCAGCTCTAATCCGACAGGAACAACAAACTTCCTATTTGATCAGGTTTGCAGGAGGTCGTTATTCTACCTCAGCTACAACATTACGTTGCACGTGTACAATCTAAATTGAATCTGGTGAATAAGTGAATAAATCACTTACTATTAACTGAAGAAAAACTGACTGTACAATATATGTACATGGAGTTCCGCTGTGAGAAATTGTTCCTGATCAAACCCAGCTTCGGGTGATTACGTTTACTTGCAAAAATGACACTGCAGTTTTTGTTCCCCTATCTGTCTCCCCAAAGCCCAAGTCTGATTGGCTCATGTGAGGGGGGTGTAAGAGGAAGCAATTTTGCCTTAGTCCTGGTGAGCATTGCCTTGTGGGAAATCAGCGTCGTGGCAGCTCCTGTAATTAGTTCTGCTTGTTAGAAAAATGAAGGGGTTACTAATTAGCAAGTGGATGGCTTCTTGACTTGTTGTGCATCTTTTCCCTCCTTTCCTTGAAGATCATCATTATCGTCTCCAGGCAAACTGGAGAGAGGGAGAGAGAGAGATGGAGGGAAAGAGAGAGAGAGAGAGTGCTGCTCAACATTTAAGCTCACACACAATGAATCTAGATGGACAAATCTCCAAGGGTGTTCTGTCATGCTCTTACAGACAGGTTGCCTACTGTAAGCGCATGCAGGCAAACTCCTGGAGCTGTGCAAGATTTCACTTTGCAAATTTGCTCAACAAGCAGTGTGGTTGTCAAAAATCTTTACATGCGTGCACAGGCTAATATCCACATCTACTACAGTTTCAATGTCAAATTGCATCTTAATGTGGCACAAGTGTTGTTTTTTTTTCCTGGTTTCAAAGGCTGCATTACAGTAAAGTGATGTCATTTGCCGAGTTTACCAGACTGCTCGAGCTGTTCTATAATTTATCTTACCCAGTTAGTCATTATATCCACATTACTGATAATTAATTATCAAAAATCTCATTTGTGAACCCTATTTTTTGCAATATACTGTAGATATCGAGGTATAACATAATTGGATTTTCTCAATATTAAAGTAGTTAAAGTAGCTTTTTATTTAGCATACAGATTTGAGTGTTAATAAAAAAAAGCTAATAAGTATATTTCCCAAATTGTCAAGGCATTCCTTCTAACGTTTGTGTTGATTTCCAGTGTTATGGTTTGAAAGCTGTATGCATTCAGCCAGTCTTTGTAGCTAAAGTGCTAAATTTAAGTTCAGAGTTGGTATTGTATGAACTGAAGCGCTAAAAGAATAAAAATAAGTGGAAGAAGTGATATGGAAATTTCCTCATAATATTTATAAACTGCAATGCTGATTGCTGTTATCACCATTCATTGTATATGTCGGGTATATTCAGGATTTTAAGGATCAAGTGCAGAGCTATGATTAAATCAAACTCCACTATTTGCAATCTAGAAAGTGTGAAAAAAAAGCTATTATTCTCCTGTGTGTAATTTGGCTTGGATGCAGAAGCATAAAGGAAATGCAAATCAAATTCATCCAGAAATAGACCCCCTTTTGTGCACCCAGATTGCGTATGAGAAGACCTATCATCCGCCACTGATGTTTGAAAGTCGGGAGTTACAGCTCTTTGCTTTCAGCATTTCACCAATGTGTGCAGATTCCTACGAAAGTCCCCCCCCTTTAAGCTGTGGGCAATTTCAGCATTGAAAGCGGAAGTACTTTTGCATGATGTCACACTCTCGATCGATAATTCTCCGTAACACGGCCGTTACATGCATGCGGCTGCAGAGGGACATTTATCTCCCCTCAGCTGATCCGCTTCCAAGAATGATCCTAATGTGACATTACGTAAGAGCTGGAAGGCAGAGCTGCCGGTATTAGAGAACACACAAACTCCAGAGAACATACTAATCTCCCGATGTGATTATTAGTCATAATATTTAACGCTGGCTCAATGAGCGACCCACGGCGTAATCTCTATCTGGCACATTCACCTGTTCTCTCCTAACCATCCTGACTTTGCCTTTGAGGAGGGTGATAGGGAGTTAAATAGAATAATTACACCTCGAGAGTAAGATATGAAATAGGGGGGGGAGGAATGAGGTTATAGTTGAATAGCTCTGTGGGAAATCTCAGGATTAGCTCAACTTCTGCTACATTTTGTTTTGGCAAATGTTTAATTTCAGCTCCCTCATTTCTGTAATTCTTCTGTAGCTATGCAGAGGAAAACCTAATGTATGGTAAATTATGGGCCGTTAAACAGAAACGGTGGGACACGGTGGGTACTGACATTCAGAATGACTGCAGTGGTGAATAAAAATAACTAGCCCAGGATGATCAAGTAAAGGGGAATTTTAGAGTTTAGCGAGTTCAGAATTTTGTTATAATCAATGAAAGGAAAGCTATAAAGTACATTGTGTGGTTAAGCATTCACCTCATGAACTACTCCTTCATCGTTATCAAAAGATTTGATATTCAATGCAGTGCAGCATCATTTAGCTTGCGAATGAATCACTGGCTTGACGAGCATGAAGGACCCGTCTTAAAATGTGGACATTTGCCCTGAATCTTTTGATCAAACTTGATCATTCTTTTTGCATTTCATTTGGCATTGTGCACTTTGTCAGCCCACAAAAGTGCCTCCACATTTCACATTTCAACATTTTTTTTGTCTGAACACTGTGTAGGCTGTGAAACAAAGCCTTGATATGCTAAGATCTGAACAAAAGCTTTGTGTTTGTTCCTAGAAACGGAGGCCTGAAGCGACTGTTATTTAACACACACACAAACACAGTTTTTTTTGGAGATGAATTGAGTGCAGTTCAGTCAGGCACTCGGTGAAAAACTTTTTGTTTCAAAAATAGATGTTACAGTATACTGCAAAATGCCAAATGGCCCCGCTGAGAATGATGGCAGAGAATTGAGTGATTGTGAAAAGACTGGAGTCACTTTGGTATGATCTGACACATGCCCACTCTCAGAAGCATCACATTCAGACTGGCAGCACTGGACCTGCAGGAAAAAGTTTTAGAGTTTTTAGAGCATTCAGATCAAAGCTCCACAGACATCATATGAGTAGCAATCTTCTCAGCTAGCTGGTGGCAAGAATGTGAAGTGTATGTCCCTTTTACAGTGAGTACCAATATACAGCATGAATTTCTGATAAGAGTTGACATCCCTCACTCACATGAGTGAAAATGAAATTACGTTTTTGACGGAATTTCAAGGAAAATTCGAATGGACAATGTAATCTTGCTCAGCTTGCGACTGACACAGTAGGCAGGCACAGCAGTGGGGAGGAATCTGTCCCTCACGTCTTGTCTACTTACATCACAGTCAGTCATCACCATCAGTGTAACTGTGCTCTAATGTCTCTCACTGTCGTCTTTTCATCTCGTCTGTGGGGTTGTGTGCGGCATGCTTCACATCTTTGTCCTGTTTTCTCTTTCTCTCCCCCTTTTACTTCTACTTCTCTCTGTGTTGGATGAGAAGGCAATTCCTGCGACCCCAGAAGATGACGGGAAGTTGTCGGTAGGTCCTGTCTGATTGACACTCTTCCAGTCTGCTTCTGTGTTTGTCCCCGTTTCTGTGTAGATGTAGGAGCGTAACTTGTGTTTCTCCCATCGTAATGTGAAGACATGTACACTGTTATCTCTAACCTTCAGCCTCCCTGTGTGCAGAGAGTAGCTCCGTCTGTTTTCCGAAGCCTTTTCTCCACAGTTACATTCTGTACGCAGCATGCGAAAGACAACCGAGGAAGGAGCATGTGCTTCGAAAACATCAGACTCTTTTAATGCTTTTATTCTTTCGAAAAGCACGCCGGAGTGTTAGGTTTTCATCCGGATTGTAAAGGAAGCAGATGAAATAGAGCAGCAGAAGGAGAGTCTTCAGGGTAGCACCGAGAAGCCACATCTTACAGAAGCCCCGCCAGTCTACGTGCCTCCCCACTGCCTCCCGCTCGCACCCATATGGGCCTGTGAATTAGCACCTGACACCTCCTGTGCCTACGCGTCATCTCTGTGGGCAGCCAAAGGCAGACACATTCCAAACAGCTGCTGCCTGCAACGGTGCTTAATTTCCCACAGTTCCCAAGTTCAGCTTCAACTGCTGGAGTGACCTTGGCGACGGTTGTTTTTGGAGAAAGACCTCGTGTGCCACTTCAATTGTGAACGCCCGTCTCAACCCATGGGGCTTATATTTTTCAGATGCTGAGGCACTTTTTGAGAGTTTTACTGGGTTGCAGGTTCCACTGAGGGGTTTTATGCAAAAGAGGATTAGGGAATCATATTCCAAACAGCCTGGATTAGAAATGGCGCTGGTAAAGTGCTTACAATTGATAGACTGGTGTTAAAATCGGCATATGTGCTTTATGACAGCAATAAGAGTTGGAACAAGGTATACTGTATCTCTTTTGCTAGTAGGAAACGTGTCCTAGTTTAAAAAAAAGTCCCATTCAAGTCAAAATATATTTGTTTGACATCTTGTTTCTCCTCTCACAGGCCAGGCCTCGACTTCAGAGGGGAGGTAGTTCCGCCTCCCTGCACAACAGCTTGATGAGGAACAGCATTTTCCAGCTGATGATTCACACGTTGGACCCTTTAAGTGAAGGTAAGAGGGTCTGTACGTAGAAAACACAACTCTTAAGTCTTTAACTCAGTAAAAAAAAAAAAAAGCATCTGTGCTGTATATCCTGTGTGTTTGAGACTTACAGTCTGTAATTGTCCATTTTCAGGTTGATGTTGCCTTGAATTTGTCATCATTCTTGTCTTTTTCACTTAAAATGACTGAAATCCTGCTTTCAGGTGTTTCAGAACTGTATAGAAGCCAAGAATTTTACTGGCAAAAAACTGTTATGGACGCATGAAAGATGTTCAATATCCTGGACTTGAGCTCAAATTCTTGGCGATGAAAAACAGCTCAGAGAGCAACCATATGGTGTTTTTAATTCATTCCTCAGTCCAAATAAAAAAGTACTGGCTTTTCATGCATACAAAAGTCTCCGTCATTAACATTTAGACTGTACTTCCAGCCCCGATGTGCCTGGACTGAATTGATCCCTTTTTTAAAATAGTCCGTACGAGACAAGGCAAAGTTCTGTGTCAAAGCTCAGCTAATGTGGAAGATCATTTCCCTTTAATCCAAGATCAAGGCCTTTTGGCTAAGCTAAAGCAAATGTGAAACGGCAGTGTCAGTGCTCGACGCAGGGGATGAATATGTTAACACCAGGGGAGGAGGTGCAGTGTCATCCCATTCTTAACCCACAGAAAAATGCACATTAACGGGGAGCAACACTGGTTTGAGGAATGTGTCATTGGAGGTTTTCTTGGCTTTCATGAAAGGTCTTTAAATTGGACGCAGCATCTTATGATGTGATGAATCCTAACCCCCCCTTGTATCTACAGTGTAAGTTGTTTGATTAAAGCATCAGTGCCGGTGTTGCCACAGACAAAGATACCACATAGGACAAGGCCAAAGAGCCATTTCTAATCCTGAACAATGATTAGGCTACATATTTGCCCGATGGATGGATGTGATCACATTAGCAGATGTCTGCTCTGTAGTGAGGAGGCATTTCAGCTTTCTCCGAAAATGACTTTACATTCCTTGAAAGCCAAACATAGAATGAGTCAGCTCAGGAAAGATTAATAAGCTCTGCCCAGACGGCCTTAAGTGCCCATTAACATGCATCAAGTCGTTGCCGTACACTAAATCCAAGGTGTACGGTTTCCGAGTGTATCCATCTTCCCATCGCAATGATTAGAATGTAAATCACAGCCCGCTGATGGAACGGAAGTCTGTATGGCCAGTCGTATATGTACAAGCCAAAGTTTTACACACTCCACCCTGCCGCTCCTTGTAGATGCATTTATCATTTGGTCCTTTTAAGGAGCAACTAACATGCACTGATGATGACATATTTACTGCTTGTTGGACTGCATGAAGATTAATGGACTGGCAAATATATGTTAAACATACCTGTTTGTGTTTGGGTCTTAATCATTACCAAGCATCTAAAAGGCAATGTCAGAATGAGTTACTATGTTAATGTGTTTATGAATATGTTTTTTTCTCAATAGTGGATTGAAATGGTCAAACAGTGAAGTTCTGCTTCAAATATGAATGCAGCAGAAATGCGAGGATGTTCGTCCAGATTTGACTGATGAGTCTTTTGGCAAATTACTGAGTGGAAATGAATGCACTGAAGCAACAACTACAGTGTGACACGACACGAGGATTTAATTCATTGCCAGAGAGAACAAAAGCAACACTTTGGGTTTATTATTTTGTAATTTCCATGTCCCATGTTGGAAGTTTTCACACATCCAGCAACATTTAACGATGACATTGGTCTTGAATACATTGTAGAATGCCCTCATCACATGCCTTTCATTTGATCCATTACCGTCCATGTTCATTGCACATTTACTGATCTCAGTAATGCAAAGAAGCATCTTGTTGGTGAGCTAGCGGCGCGGAGAGAGACGAGCAGGTGCATCCATCAAAGAGGGAGGTTGTGCTGCTTGTCCTTGCGTGCTCTTCGGCTTTAAGTGTAGCTCAGCGGAAGCCGGAGGGAGCTGCCAGGACTCGATCCATACATTTTTTATAGACATTTCTCAAAATAAAGTTGTCTGCTCTTCCGAGGCAAAGGAAAAATCTGAGGTTGTTTTGCTAGTGCTGGGAACTGGTTACGTTTCACTTGTTCTACTTTTGGAGTGGGGGTAGTTTGTGTTCATAGAGTTGTTCCTGGCTTAAACACTCAGACTCTTTGCTACTTTAACCGTCGTCAAAATCAATTAAAATGCCAGCTGTGATGTCACTGGGTGAAAAGCAAAATCAGTGATGCATTTAAGGAGGTTTAATTTCTGTAAACACTGGCAGATTTTGGTTAAGGTAACATAATACTAAATACTAAATGTTTGTGGGTGTCTGTCAGTATGTGCGCGAGTATGCATGTGTGTGTCCCTTAAAGAAATGGACATTTTGAGAAATATGCTTGTGCACTTTCTTCCAGAGAGTTAGATAAGTGGATTTACACCACTCTCATACCTGTCATATCTACTGGAAAGAGGGGGGGGGGGGGAAGCATACATCCAAATCATTTGTTTTTTAGCAAAATATAGCCTAATGGTCTTTTGACTCTCATCTTGGAAGAATATCAGTGATCTAATGTACGCTCACTAAATATATCACCTGGATTTATCTTTTCTCTGTTTGTCTTCCTATCTCTCTTTCTACTGTCCCCTCAGAATTTGCTGACTCTGGTGAGTTACTACTCTAATTTATGTATCTCCCACCCCTCCCCCCAAAAAATGTTTGTTCTCATTCCAACAGCCTGGAGGCAGCTCTCTTGCCCGACGTGTCCCCTATGTATACATCTCCCCAGCGCCGCTGTGCTGTATATGTCAATCCTGTACTGTCCATCCTTGCAGACTTTCTCCTTCAAATATCTCATTCTCTTCTGTGGATGTATTCTCCTTGGAAACCCTTTGTGACCATTTCTGCATTGTTTTCCCCATTGTCCCCTATCCTCTCTCTCCTCTTATGAACTCCTTTTTAGTCCTGGTTTTATATTGTTGCTCTCCGTGGGACAGGAAATGATTTTTGTTTTTCCTGTTGTGTTGTCTTTAAACTCCTGGTTTGTGAAGGTCCTTTACCTTGCAGGCATTTAGCCAAACATGGCAGTGGTGTAGCAAGAAGATGGAGATTTCATGTGGTAGGTCTCTCAACTTGACAACGTTGTGCTCTGCTCGTGAATTTGGTTTTTGGGCAGACGGAGGAAAGTTGTGGGCTGTTTTCTCAGTCCTTCTCACATGCCCTTCATCAGGATTCAGAGTCAATAAGAGCTGGACAGAGCAATTAATTGCAGTGGACTTAAATTTGTTTCCCTCTTTTACAATTAGCTGTTCCCACCAAACTGTTATCGATTTAAGTATTTACATGCGTGTCCTTCAGTTCAATAATAGACCTTTAATCCTGCGTGTTTTTCATTGGAGAGAACATGGTAATAGTCTGGTACACTTAGTTCCCGGCACAAGTGCCCACATCTCTTTTTTTCCATCAGTGTGGAGCTACAAACAATATCACTTAGGAGTAGCATCAAATATTGAACTACAAAGAGAGATGGGGAGGGAGACGGGCAGAGTGGCTGTCTGAGCTCTCAGTGGATGGCTGAAACAAGCCTCCCAAAACAGCACTCAGAATTCAGACTGCGTACATGCCTTTGGCTCAGGCCCCTCAATAAGATGTATTACCCTGAGATATGAACTCTAGTGGTGAGTCTATGCATAACCATAGCTGAGGTTGACCTCGGTACGGGAGAAGATGGGCGCTTGCATACGACCACAAACCATACAGTAAATGTATGAAATGCAAACATTTTACCAATAATATACCAGAAATAAGATATAGAACGAATAATTGGCCTTGTCGATTATTTCAAGTACCTGACAATCACCCACTAGTTCCATAATCTGTGACTATGTAGTGCAGTACAGTGGTAGAAATATAACAGCACAGACCAGCTATTTCATCAGATGCTTAGATCATTATCTAACTGACATAGACTGGAAAGATCGCTCACAAAACCAATGTGGCCTTGGACATCTTTGTTGAAGTGAGGCCATTTTTATTGAGCAGACATCGAGGGCCTCCACAGAGCATAGAAAGGACAAGGTCGTTTGGGTAAACCGTGATACACCCATGTCGGCAGACACTACGCTCATTGGGTAAACTGGTGAGACACAAGAGGGTTGGTGTTGGATGGAGGCAAGCAAGGAAACCAGTCGCACCAGGAGCAAACAAGGTTTGTGTATACGTCATTGTGTGAGGGTGTAACTTACACCCAAAAATTAATTTGTGAACAAAGAAACAAAGGATTTTTGGATGAGTTTTCTGTTCTGTGACTTTACATATTTTTTTAACAGCCGTTAATTATGAGAGGTAAATTTATTCGTCAAGCCAACATTTCCAGTTCGCCCCATACTGCTGCTCCCACTGCCTGCAGCGTTGTCTGTGTGGTGACCCAGGGCCCCATTGATCACATTGTTCAATAAAGCTGTCGCTGACCTGACACCCCTTGTGCAATGGAAATATATTTACCATTCATGCCGTATAATATTGACATCTTGCTATAAGGTTTTTAATTATTTGTTTGAACGTAACTGCTTTTTTAGCACTAGATTACATTTAACTCCAACTTCAACTTCACAGAGGCATATGTTTGAAATGGTAGCATTTTCATGTGTATCGAAAAATGCAATAAATAATATACTGTATTTTTATATACAAGTTTAGCATTAATATTTGAATTCAGAAAAAAAAGGTGATGTACAGTCATAGTTGTACTTCCAGTATGTTATGTAACTGAGACCAGTCAACCCATCATCCCTCTAACTCGCACACATGTCACACCCCCCACCCGCACCCTCTGAGCTCACCATGCGCCGGGCGGGTGAAAGAATCAATGTTAAAAGCCTTTTTGCTTCGGCACAGACTGTGAATTTCCCTGACACCCCAACCCCCAGCAGACGGCGCGGGATGCACTCACGCTCTCTTGCGCACAGCTCACTAGAGGTTTAGAGGTCACACCGCAAGGACAAGAGGGACCCTGGTAAACAACAACAAGCCTCCCTCAGACCAGTGTGCGGGCAGTGATTGTTGTTGAGGGTTAATTGCCCCCAGAGCAACCTCGGTTAAAGGCCAGCCCAACAGTGATGCTGCACTTCAAACCCAAATCGCCTAATCATATGGGATTGAGGCACTTGTCCGTGAGTGCAGCAGATGGGCAAGACGCTCTGCAATAGGATGTGTTTTCATCTCATTAGATTGTGTTTTCAGGGCTGCCAAGTCTCTCATTTGGCATGCGGTTCTCATCATAATCCTCTCACATGTGAGTGGAGTGGTCGGCGCCCACTGTTGGATATTAGTGTGTATGCATGTGGGTTTGTGAGCACGAGCATATACTCTACTTACTGTACTATACACCTACATGTCGACAATCTGTACTTGTGAAGAGAGTAAATGGGTCAGTTTACCCACGGTACAAAAGCATATTTTATTTACATAACCTTTTATATAAGCAGGAAGTCTCTTCATAAATATTTCACAAGAGCAGTCTGGCCAAAGTGGCTCTGCAATGTAGTTAACATGGTGGTAAAATGATTTACTAGTCATATATAGCTCAATAACATTAGGCGTATAAGAGCTATAAAGGGCATAGCTTGGCTATTTAAAATAGGTCTAATAGAGGCTTTAAATGAGAGCAAGTACGTGTGCTTGACGTAACCATGAATGGCTTTAAAAATTAAAACATTTTAATCTTCCTCCATATTTTCATCGAGGTTCATCCAGTTAGCAACCATAAATTACAGTGACGAGTTCATGAGTCAACATTCAAAATAAAACGTCACGTAACCGCCAGAGTGAAGTGAGCATATTTGATCACCTCTGCACTAAAGACTAAATCCTCATGCTATTAGTTATGCTGAAACGGGCAGAGCAGCTCCAAAGCGCAGTGCGGGAGGTAGAGCCTTATGGTCCGGTGTCGTCTTTTCTGCTGCTTCACGTTCAGCTGTTGCTGCAGGTTTGAATTCCCGGCTAATTCATCATGCAGATGTGCTGACCGTCTATTTACAGTAGCACCGAAGAACTGCTACAGTAAGGGAATCAAATTAATTGTTTGGGTTTCATTGTGGGGGGAAAAAAATGCAGAATCATCAAGCCTTTGAATGAGCTTGCGTGCAGAGGAGAGGAGGACTCATCTTTTTTGTTGCATGTTGACCCAGTTCTCTTCTGACTTTCCTGTTCTGTTTTTTTATTATTATTTTTTTATATATACATCATTGTATGAACCTGTTGTTTTCCAGTATATTGACAGCCCCTCCCCCCTCCCTTTCTTTCGCAAATCTTCTCTAATAGCTATCCAACCTGTGCCATTGGCAGGCTATTTATCAGCCTGACTTACTGTAAAGCTATGATGTATTTTATTTGTAATTCAACCCTTTGGCGCTTTGTTTTGCACTTCTGCAGTGATGACTCTGAGAGACTTTGTCTTTCTGTATGTCACTCCTTGTGGCCGTGTGAGTGTTTGTAAAGAACGTGATGTAGAACCAGCGGACCTGTCTTGTTCTGTCATGTTCACTCTTTTCCTTTTCTCTGTGTGTTCGTTGCCTTACCCTTGTCTTTTGCTGTGATGTTGTAGAGCTTGGGACTTATGGGAAACTAAAATATTATCACTCAATGACTGAGGAAGGTAAGCCTGAAAGTTTTCACTTGATTCCTTGAGTCAGCTTCTGTCATCCCTCTTCCTTTTTCTCCATCTTTATTACGTAACCTCCAATTCCATTTTTTGTTTGCTTGCGACATGACATACAGTTTGTTTTAAGTTTGACAACCTCTCTGAGATTTCACTGACAAAGTGCAAATCACGGTAGCCATGCCATTTTATTATTTACTTATTATCCTCATTTTTTTATTTGATTTAATTTTTTTCTTCCCAGAGATTATGTACAAACCTATTGTGTGTTACTGTGTGTAATGCTTTTATGGATTTTATTCTATTTTCATCATATGTTGCTTATGTTTGATTTTGTGAGAAAGCCACTGCTTTCCTGAATTATTGGTCAAATTTTGTTATTATGCAAATAAAACTACACACACAAATGCACCACAAAGCATCCCCTGAAAACACAAGGCACAAGGTTTTCTTTTCTTTTTTTTTTAAATCTTTGGCCCCGTTACCCATCCGCATTGTTGAGAAATACATCATCCATGCCTCAGCGCTCACTTGGAGGTTCCACTTGTACCAGCAGCGGGTGCACACATGTAAGACGTACGTTGCTGACTCATCCACCCAGTAGTTGCGTAACAAACAGAGCTGACAGGGAAAATGAGCGGCTGTGTAACGAGAGCTAGGGATGGGCTGGACTTGGTTATTCTCAAAGACTTGCAAATTGGAACTGTCATATTTCTTTGTTGTTTGCCTTTAGAGCTATAGCATACCCAAAGGCAACATGCAGGAGTAACATTATTTATAACATTAGTTTAAAAATGATTAAACTAGCTTTATCAAGTGAAAGGTAGCTGGGGAGACAGGCTGGCCTTAGCTGAAGCTAAAATTACTTGATTCTTTTCCTAGCTGTTGACTTTAAGGGAAAAATCAATTTTGATCAATGGACATCTTGATAATTAAGTTAGTTACTCTTAGTAACTACACATAACTGCTCTCTGCCTTCATAGGTCTTTGGCATAAGGTTTCAGAATCGGTTAACTGAAAGTGGTTTTCTTCAACGTTCAAGAATTTCCTTTGAAACTCATCAAAAAAGCCCAACCCTGCTACTTTGTAGTCCCACGCAGAGACGATGATCTCACGCCCACATCTGTATAAACGGAACACGCGCATACACAGCCCACTGACCATGACCGCCTAAGGTGAGTGATGTCAAGGCAGTGGAATGTGTGATGCCGTTTTGTGAAAATGTACAGTATACAGTGTGCATATGTCTTCCGTGAGCATGTGCGTGTCTGAAAGAGAGCGAGGAGGGGAGGGGCTGTGTGTAGCCAGACGACTAAAAGACAACAGAATGAGAGAAAGAATGGCGTTTGAAAAAAACAGGAGCGAGAAAAACAGGAGCCATGGAGAACTGTGGAATTAGATAGAGGAGACGGGAGGAAGGCCGGGGGTGACTTAGGGTGGTTAATGATTTTGCCAGAAGGTCACAGACAGCATTGACATGGTTGGGTGGAGTATATATCGACGCGTCACTGTGTCAAGCACTGACAAATGAGCCGTGCCCTCTTGAAATGAAAAAAAAAAATCTTTCACATTGATTACAATGGGCTGATTTGGGAGTAGGTAGGACATGCATGCAACAACTGACACGCACAGGAAGTCAGTGAATATGGATACTCGACGCACAAGAGGTTTTACACAAAACCATGATAGACAGAATCTCTGACAAAAGCCATTAAATATTAACATCTAATGTGTATTACATGGGAACATAAAAACTTACACTACCTAAGTTTTGTGCCTATGGTGTCAAAGTTCTTCTCGTCCGAGTACTGTGTTGTTGTTGATGTGTGTGTCGTTGGGGGGAATTCCAGTCATCGCTCGTCGTTATAACATGGGCAGAATTGCCTTGCGTGAGCCCGCAGCTTATGCAAGCCTCAAGGTCATGTTGTTCAATTGATGACTAGGTTTCAATTCAGTCTCGTGCGTCACAGCATCATCTTTCCAGTGTTATTGGGTCAATAATGTTATCAGCAACGATATCATCCCCATCAGTGATTTTTTTTTTTAATATTGATCAAATTTCTCCAACAAGCAGATGTCTCTTGCATGCTACAGTATTTCTCTTTGTCTGAGGCTTCGCACGCAGCTACTTTACGAACTTCAATAGATTGCTGCAGGAATAAGTCCTAAAACCTGGAAATTAGTTGGCATTTTCGCACTTCCAGTTCCCCCTTCACTGGGTTTTTTTGAAAGGGTTTTTGGTTAAATGCTTGAAATTAGTTCTGTGGTGGAACACAAGCTGAAGAGATTTGAATGCTTTGTTCTACATTATAAAATACGTCGGTTAATATTTTTTTTATGTCTTAAAAGAGGAGGCTACTGACAAGTGGCTAAATGCCGCTACAAAACGTCATCACGTCAACTTGTCTGCCGTCTCTCGTGCTCATGTGACCTTGATGTAGTTCATTTATAGCCTGATGGGTTTTTTTCACTTCTGCCGATTGTATTCATGCTTTCATAATCAGAAAACTAGTGTTCATAGGTGAATATTATCTTGCTGAACAAAATCAGTAAGTATTATAAACTTGTGTTTGCCACAGTTTACTTTCTGCAATAATCCAAAATCCAATAGAAAAATCATATTGGCTTTTTGTCGAGGGAACCAGTGTGATGCTAACTTCCCGGGGTTTTTGTACAAAAAATGTCATCCCTGCAGCACCCTATACGAGCAACGCTAAAATAGAAGCACTATAATAATGGTAAAATCAGGTGCTTCCTGTTTAAATATTGCAATACCAAGTTTCTGAACCTATAGATGTGTCACTTCTGATGATGCTGTCCTCAGCTCAGTCTTTGGTTGCTTTTAGTTCCCAGCTAGCCTCTGACCTCTCTTGTGAGTTTCTGGTCTGATATGAGAACAGGGGTGAATCTGAGCTCCAGAAGGCAGATATCTTCACAAGAGATTCTCTCCCCTGCTGGCTTTGCCTCCACCAAGGACCAGGACATTGCAGGGTCATCAGTATATGATATGCTCTGTCATATTGACTCTCTATGTTGTTTAAACAGCCGTTCTGTGGGAAGACACTGCCCTGTATGCACTGTGCTTTTGAAATGTGACCCATCTGGGGTCAAAGGTGACAACGACGGAGCTCTCATTTGGAAGAGGACGAGATGCCTTGAAGATGCTGCGGTGTGCAGCCCTCTGCTCCATCTTTAACCACTGTGGCTGTTCTGTTGCAGGTAAATTTCGAGAGAAGGCATCCATCCTTCATAAGATCGCTAAAAAGAAATGCCAAGTGGAGGACAGTGAGAAGGCCAATGGAGTAGCAAGCCGTTCAGGTAAAAAGCTCTTTGATCAATCAATCAAAATGTATTTGTATAGCACATTCTAAAATACAACAAAGGTTGCCCAAAGTGCTGCACATACAGTAGATGAGCAGTCATACAATCAAAGAATGGATTAATAACAGTAAGTGACATTAACATCAAGACAAACTGACACAAATCACACAAAAGTGCCATGATGTGTTCCATTTGATATTCCTAAAGGAATAGTTCGACATTTTGCGTTAATACATTTGTTCACTTTTTTGCTGAGGTAAGGGTCAGATGAGAAGGTTGATACCACTCTCATGTCCAACGCTAAATATGAAGCTAACACCAGCAGCTGGTTAGCTTAGCTTAGCATAAAGACTGGAAACAGGGGAAACGGTTAGCCTGGCTCTGTCCAAAGGTAGCATGTGCCTATACCAGCACCTTTAAATCTCATCAATCAACATGTTCTAGCAAATGTCATGTAATCCTTAAATAAACTGAAGTGTAAGAACAACATGTTGTGGTTGTACAGATTTAAGTCTCAATGCTAAGCTATGAGAGTGGTCATCAAACTCTGGGCAAGACAAGAAAATAAGTGCATTCCTCCAAATGTCAAACTATTCCTTTCCTTCGATATTAGCTGATTATTCACAAAGACTCCTTTGCTGTTGCTAAAACGTCATGAATAGCCGTTACCCGGCTTAATATTCCTTATTAGTCGTCAGGAACGTCCACTGAAATAGTTAATGAGCGTCACATCCAGTGTTAAACAAGCATGACATTATCAAAAAACTGCCAAATTGATTGCAAGTGTTGTTTTCAAGCAGTATTTAAATCAATCACAGTCACTGCCAAGTGTAATTTATGTGGGGTGTTTTTTTTCACTTCAAAGAGCATCGGACCAAAGGATGAACAGGAGGCAAGAGGATGCCCTTTCATGGCCACAGTGTAGTCAGAGCAGCAGAATCAAAGCGAGGCATAGATGTTTATCAACAAGGCAAATTATGCTAACAGCGCCACATTAACATATTACCATCTTAATCAAAATGCATGACTGGTCATCACAGCATACTTTTCGAGCCTCGCATATCTTAAATTGGTGTCTGTAGTAAAAGAAGATTTACTGTCAGTTTAGTTCGGTGTATGATGCATGTGATTAGATCCACATCCCATCTTTCTATCTGTGATATCATAGATAGCATCCAAGCTAGGGAGTGATGTCATGTGCTGGACGACAGTGGTATCAAGTCACTTTATCTATCTGAGAACCTCTCCAATTGTGTCACAACCACACTTGAATTAAAGCAATTTCCACAGCAATTATAGTGTTATCATCTGATTACATGGCTTTCGGCTCTTTGTATTTCAATAAGGGCTGGTAAGTAAGTCTGGCCTCAAATTAAATGGAGTCATATCAGCCACCAGGATGTGATGAGGGAGACGGATGTTAGTGACAGCAACAGACCTGCACATATACTTGTTCGTACACAGAAAGATGCTTAAGGTGAACAAACATTTACTGGTTCCTGTTTATTGAAGTAGCTATAGCTGTCAAATAAATGTAGTGGATTAAAAAGTACGGAGGAGAAGAAGTATAAACACTCTCGTGCCAATTTGAGGCAATGCCAGCTTTAGTCCCTCTACATGCTTCTGACTGTAATTATTCGTGAAACTTCCCACAGATAAGAACCTTCCTAACAGCTCCAGCGTGGAAGTGGAAGTGACACCACCCATGAACGGAACAGCAGGTCAAGAGGGGGAGACGGTAAGGGATGACAGCAGGAAGAAACTGCACCAAACTCAGTTATCCCCCCCCCCCCCCCCCCCCCCCCCCCCCCACCAACAAC